TTCCAACTTCAGGGTCAGTTTTTTATTGAACTTCAGAGAAAATGAGTCATACTTGGCATTGAAATTTTCCAACTTCAGATCCAAAGTGTCCATGTTCAGATTAGTTTCCATGTGATGTTTGAAGTTTCCATGTAATGTTCAGATTTTCCATGTCATGTTCAGAGTTTCCATGTCATATTCAGATTGACAGTTTCCATGTTTGGGTCTCAAGAATCCAACTGGCTGTCTCATTGCTGTGAACTCATAATTATGAGCAATCAACTGCCATGAACTGAGTTCAAACCTTGCCTTTGGGTTCCATCTTCACTACAGACTTGGGCATCTTAGTCTGAATTAGATGATTATTACCTCACATACACTTGGCGGTTTTTCGCCCATCCACGTGATTCCCAAAAAGGAAACTCAACATGTGAGGTATGAACCAGTTCATAACCGAAGGTATTTGAAATTATTTGCTCAAAGGGTTTTCTCCCTGTGTATAATCCATCCTGTTCAAGAATATCATATCTTGTGACTATTTATTTGCCAGGTCAGGTCTTTCCGAAGTTGCGGGAAGAGTATCCATCACTTGCTCCCCCTCCCCACCCTCGCAAGCTTGGGGGGTCCCCCAAGCTGCGGGAGTCTCAGATGGGCATGCTAAAGACTTGTCCCTGCTTTCAACAGATATGGAGAATCTCCAAGGTCAGATCTATTCAGTGACGAGAGCTTCAAAAAGAAAACACTTATCCAGGCTTGAACCAGCACCACTCAAGCTAGTATTACAGTACTATCCAGCTGTTATTACAACTGAGCCATTGGGGCATACTCAGCTGTCAACTTTACCAGGTTATGTGAGTCACACGAGGCATTTCGGCTGATGAGAACCTGACATGTCATCAAACTGGTTTGTGGTTCGTGAGGTCATGTGTTGTGTTTCCTTTTTGGGAATCATGTGGACGGGCAAAAAGTCAAAGACTACCTCACATGCCCACAAGATTGATCAATAGACCATATCTTTTTCTTGCCTCAATATGAAGTTCGCAGAGTCGGTCTGAAAGTTCGCATCAGATTTTTGAAGTTTGCTGATCTAAGTCAAACGTAGGATGTCAATACCAAACATGGGGAATTTCTGAAGTTCGCATCAGATTTTTTAGAAGTTTGCTGATCTATCTCAAACATGGGATGTCGATGCTGAACATGGAATGTTTCTGAAGTTTGCGGGTTTGTCCCAAGGTCCGGATCAAACTTTTCAAAGTTCAGGGATCTGCGTCAAACATGGAGGATTTCTCAAGTTAGATGGAAAATCAGGATTTTATGCAAAGTTAGCTAAATTTTAATTATGACACACTATTATGGCCAAACTCAAGAAAGCAAAAAAGATCAAATATTTCTTTTCATGAATGCTCTCTGCAAGACTCGAACTTGCGGCCTCGGGAGGTTGAAGAGCTAGTTAGGTCTACAATGGTTTAATCGTCATTCTTCCCTGACTCTTTTCAAGTTCAGATTCAAATTCAACTCCGTGTTTACCGGGACGCCTTCGGCATCTTTGTGCACTTGATAGCAGTCCCTGTTTCCCGCTTGATTGTGTGGAACAATTTTTTTATTATGACTCCGACTTCTCGGCTCGTTTGTTGGGTGAGAGACATTTTAAGATCTGTATTAAGAATGTTCTTAATAGGAATAGTCATGATGACAGCTGTTGCTCAAGCGCCCAACAAGTGCCTGTCTCTTGTTCCTGTTATTCTACTCCCTCTGAGGAGATCTGCCATGGAGCAGAGGCAATAGATCATCATATACCCATCATAATCTTCCTGGCCTGTTCACATCCCATGTTTCTCCTGAAGACTCTTCATGGCCTGAGTAGCTGAAGTACATCTCACTTGAACTATTGGACCGGATCACAGAGATTGCAATGGACTTCAATGGGGTTGAGGGCCAGATATCCTGGGGACTCGTACCTGCTGCTGAAAGTTAGCCTCTAACCATACTGGTCAGTTCAATGCTGATGTCAGATGGATGGGTGGAATTAAGATGAAGTCGTCGATGGCGCAATTTCTTTGACCCGATATGAGGCCAGATCATTCCATGACGAGGAGATTGCATTGTATGCCCTCTGTAATGTTGATTGTGTCGAGTCTTGGTCGGCGACGGGCCGGGAAATGTTCCCCACGAATTTCGCGTTGGGTACAGGCGACCCATATGTTGTTATCTACAAGTTGTCACGAACCGGAGGGATAAATAATGTATCTGTCTAATTCATCGCCTCATAATATCGGTGTCCGGTCACTTTCGACGCATGCCCATGGCGCTCAAGACAGTTCGGGAAAAAGTCGTCGATGTTCGGCGCTGTAAAAACGACATTATGGCTGAAATTATTGGAGTTGGATTGCTAATCAAGCCCCATTCGTACTCATCTTTGATTATCAGTTGCCATCACGTACAGCCTTCGGTTATTTCTCTTATATACCAGGCCCTCGTGTACTTGTTCTTCATTCGTTTGACCGCCCACGAGCTCTCGGGTCCAAACGCAATTCATTGTTTTTCTTCATCTCTCTTGGAGTCCTGAATCTACGACAATAGAAATGGCACTGGAAACACAGGGCAACGTACAGTACATCTGAGGGTACCCTCGGCTGAGAAGGATAGGCAGATGTGATTACACATATCACAACAAGAAATGTCCACGGAAATCAGAAATTGTGAGAGGAATGAATCATCAAGAAGGAAAAAGAACAAAAAAATCATTAGTGAGTGACGAGGTCTGGCAATCGAGCTGGGACTGATTATTGAGTGCAGGTCCTCGCACATTGAGGAACACAAGTGGCTGGATGACTGGGACTGAACTTGCAATGGGGGCTGTAACAGGTCACCTGTGTGGTCCAGTAACAGAATGAAGGCATCTAGGACAGTGCTAGAACGCGCCGTTTCAATGGGCTGTTGAATGACAATGAGAAAAGCGTCAAAAAATCAGGAATAGCAATTCCATACCCGGTTTATAGCATAGCAGCAGCACAAGTAGATGTCACGGACACTGGTAGAAGCATGGATATCGAAAAAGGTGCAGAATAGAGGAGACCTACTGAGTGAACCGGCACATATTAGCTGTAGATGAAAGAATCAAGTGGTCATTGAGATGACTATCTGCTCTGTGCCTAGCACTTTTTATCTGGAAACTCATAGCCTCAACATCAGGCACTCTGTCGAGAAGGCTCTCTGAAAGAACAAGATAAATCTCGACAGAGTGCCAGATTCAGCGGACTTTAAAAATGGCCGTCATAACTTTTGATCGGATTTCTTCTTCCGAAATACATCATATATGGGTCGTTTCACTCAATTAGGAATGTCCGGACTCTGGGACCTCTCGTCCCGAGTTGATAAGTAGCGGTCGTATGTTCTACCCTAGCTCCAAAATTAGAGCGCTCGAGGTCCGTTGAAGTCACCGGACTAGTTACTTCCTAGCTGATTCACAGGCCTACAGATTCTGCGACTTGACCCCACAACTCTGAGTTCTCTGTCTCCAAAGGATGAGCAAACTGATGAATCTGGTTCTGTAACAAGGACAAGCCCATCCACAAATTTTTCAGGTCCAAGGTACCATTGTGCCTTGAAATATCAGGACATAGCAGTGGCTCAAGTCGCGCTTTTCTCGCGTAAAACACATGTCTCAAGCATCGCTGGAATACTCAACCCTCATATCCTTCTTCCCAGCGAGCGTTTGATGTAAAATCCAAGCTGAATCTACAGCATTTATTCTCACGACGGCCATGGAAATGACAAGGCAGCATCCGTTAATACAGAAATGACTGATGGATTTTAGCCTCGTAACCAGGCCCTCTGAAATCTTGGAGAGATTCCTCATCAGAGGGCCTGGTAAATGACACCATCAATTTGCTGGGTTCAGGTTTCGCTTAAATGCTTAGTAATGATTTCTCAATACAGTAATTATCTGTCCTTGTTCTTGTAGAATGGCTCAGGGATCCAGGCAGGGGAACATATCGAGCTGGATTAGCCAGTGATCACAATGAGTGGTATTTTCGTTCACTCATAGTTTACAGAATAATGTGTCACACCGGGGTTGTAGGAATAATTGAGGACATTATTCAAGACATGGAAAGACATATTGCCATGTATTCTCAGTGAGAGGCTTGGTGCAAGCTTTTCTTGCGTTTTGTGACTGCTGTCACAGAGGCGTGTCCTGTCACACAGAGTCCTTTTCGACGCACATTGTGAAGGGGGCAACTCCCCTCATCTGATATAAAAATGAAACTGTCTGTGATGTGAAAGCCTCACTCACCTCATCCGAAAAATGATAATGCTGATGATGAACAGTATTCACATTATTATTATGAGAGAACATGGGGGTATTGATGACTCGCCGCTTCGGAGCTCGCCAAAACATTGCTGGGTGCTGGAGAGTGCAAGGAGAGTGACAGAAATGACTCATGGACATTACTGTGCTGGTTTGAACTCTATCACGGGTGATTCCCAATTGGGCTCTTTGATGGCGGTCTTAAAACAACCCAACAAACAAGCCCATAAATAGGGACTCGTAATCTAGGATCTGGCTGGAAGCTATGTGAGCTGGAGCAGGCAGGAAGACACGAAGAACCCAATTGGTGTCAATGGGCCCAAATGTCTCCGATTACAGCGGCGCTTTTGCGATGAAGAAGGCGGTGACGCAAGAAAGGGCCTCATTGGGCTCCGGATATCCAGGACATGTGATGTCCTGTTCTGCTCTGAATGGTGCATGAGATACTCGAGTCTTACTTGGCAATAATGTTAATATTCATCGGATCATCCAGGTGGGAATGACATGAATATTCAAGCAGTTCTTGTCTCGTCCGTCCATAGCTAAAAACCCATGCTAATTATCTATCCAGAAACAAAAGAAGCATCCAGAAGGAAATTGAATAAACTGAGGTATAGAGACTTGTATAGCATATAACTCAGTGACTCGCATTACCACCGAACATAATCCACTTCTATTCAACCTATAGTCCCCAGACCTGCTTTTCTCCTGTGGCCTGATGGTCTAGTCGTATGATTCCTCGTTTGGGTACGGTCATTGGTCCTGACGACGAGGAGGTCCCGGGTTCAATCCCCGGTCAGGCCCTTTTGTCTCTTCGGTCTCGGCATTCATGTAGTGTGTGGATCCATTTTGCAGCGGCGACTGACTAGAGCATATCTCTTTGACAATGATATAGATCAATTGGCTGGTGATACTTTACAATTGTAAATGTTTTCGGCATTTTCGGCAGTGTTCTATAAGTACTCCGGAGTATCGTCTGATGTGCCACATTGCTGGCGCGATCAGAGCCAGCAGCGAAACCCCATTTCTCAGGCAACATGCGACTAATATTGCTGGGATATCCAGAAGCCTACAAAGACCTAGACCAGCCACCTAGCTGCATCTAGTCAGACCGAGACAAACCTGTCTGTCCAGGTTGGTCCAGATCCTGCGAAACAATGTATGTAATAGAGACAGTTTTCTAGCATACAGTACACCTAAATTTTTTGAGCCTCAACAATTTCTGTCCTTTTGACTTGATGAATCAGACATAAGTCAGACGCTCCGGCGTCTCTATGCATGATATTTCAATTTGAAGCCTGATTACTCAGATGACACTGTGATGTAGCACAGAATGATTACTTACTCTCCCTTTGGATAAATTTTTCGAACTCTCAGTCACCGTGGAATTTCGATACCCCTCTGATATCAATCCTCCTGCAATCACTGCATTTCCAGATTTCCGGCTAATCTTAGTATTTTTAGTCAGAAGACATGTATGAACATGTGTAAACAGGTGGCTGTTCACAGTTCGTGTCTGTGACATGTTCAAACCTCATACAGATTGGGCTAGATTGTGTACATTTCTACACTGGTCCCTGTTCCACTAATGAATATGCCAGCCTAAGCTGTAATAAACATCAAGGCCAATTATTATTGACTTGTCCTGCTGTAACATCTTGGTGTGGTTTCACGCTTGTCAATGACTCATCAGGGTCTCGGCCTCGGCCAGGGTCCAGACCCAGCGCTCCCACCCAAAATTTACGGCGCTTAACGGCTCACCATTCATCGCCATTCACCCTTGGCCGGATCATTGTGGCCATCCAATGTCCACATTACGCCACAAGGACATCCTTTCGACTCTTAAAAAGTTGGTTCATTAATGTCCAGAGTAAGCAGCAAAACATTAGAAGAGCTTCTGTGCGTATCTTTCCTTGCCAGCATATCGTTCTATTTGACAATGAAGTTGAGGAGCCAGAATAGTCGCCGCCCGGAAATATTTGCCGTCGTGCCGAGGTCACTGTTGTCACACATGCTTTCACACAGATTTGTTGCAGCTTCACGGCTCTGATTCCTTAATGATGAAGAGGAGAATAATAGATAAGTGATAGCCTTAGTTGTTTGTTTTTTTTCTGCAGTTTCATCTGGCTCAACATAATATATCACAACGGCGGAGGGAATGGGAAGAGTCTGGGTAAATGTCAAATATACTGATTCTGGACCATGGCAGATGAAAGCCGCTCAAAAAGAGCTACTCATGATGCACGACCATTGTATGGTTGAAGCTGGATGAGTTTAAGTACTACCAACTCGCGGACTTCAATGATTTATCGCAGCGGATCCTGAGATAATGTCCTCGGGGATGTATTGTTCCCAAGAGGGATATCCTAACCAGGGTGTTGAGTGGGCAGTCATCGAGTTTTTGGTGTGGGGTGCGCAGATTCCTCGGCAGCGGTAAGGGTTTCGTGGCTCGAGGGAGGGTTTTTTTGGACGGCCAACAACAATGCCGACAGGTCTATGCTGTTGCCGTGAGGTCTCCTCAAGCCGCCAGCGCGTCCGCACAGTGTGACGTTGGCGTGACCGGATGTCGGCGTCGATGGCACACGGAGAGATATATGGCTTGAGATGACCGAAAGGAACGGATATAAGAGTCGATTTTGGTCGTACTAAGGAACTACAAGAAAGTACTGAGTCTTATATAGATATCAAGAAAGGTGGGCCACAGAAAATATGAGTAAGAGCCAAGAGACTGAGTCGGAAATATGTGGAGCTAAATGAGGGCGGCCCGCAGGGCCAAGAGAAACGAGAGACCGTCAAGGTCGGAGTCGGAGTGGTGACGGGGAGTGACAGTCACGCTACCGTTACACACAGACCGCTTTGTGCCAGCCCCTTCATCTCGGTGGTTCAATCAATTATGGGGGCTCCCAAAGGATGGTTCAATTCATTGATTAATCAGTACTACTTACATACAGTGGTATCTAATCTAGAGTACTACGATCACCTGCCTGTTCACGTACCACTTCAATCGCCGTTCTCAAAGGGTCATCAGCAAATGTACAGATAATCAATCAGATTCACAAACCTCCAATGTGTCAGTCCATTGAACCTGGGAACCGGCTCAGGGGAAGGGGCGACTGTGAAGAATCGCCTGGGTTGCTGCAAGGAAATGAATTAGGACGACACAAGGATTGGCGAGCCGAAAGAAATAAGAAGGCTGGGATTGTGATGAGAATGACAATGGAAGAAACATGAGAGCCTCCACGTGAGACACTCAGCCAAAGACATTCTGCCACTTGCCTCTTTGTGCGATTTCCCGGCCTGGCGCATTGCCCCGAGTAGATTGGACTCTTTACAGACTGCATCTTTAGTTCACCATTTACTAGTATCACCGTCTATAGATCTTGTATCGACCCACGTGGGACTCAAGAGCAATAATGTCACGCCGATTAGACTGGATTTCAGCTAGAATACCTGCATGGTAGTACATCTTTGATCTCAACACATGTAGTCTGTCTAGGAGATATTATAGAATACCACTGTATCATTTGTCGCAAGAAACCATTTCAAAATTGCATCTCTTGGCATATTCAAAAGTCTATTGGAGGATATCAGGCGGCTCCGATTGGACCATCAGGCGGAGGTTGAAAAGTTTTCACGTTGGAAATGTAGTCTCAGATCAGACCGTTAGCAAATTCTTTCCAGGAAAGGGAAGCCGTCGCTAACGGTCTGGGGCTCGGGCATTGCTCTGAATGATACTCTGCCCTCCGGTACCCTGCCCCTGCCTTTCCCTGCCCGACCAACACTAAATTATTGACATGTGACAATCACTCTCCAACCCGACTCAAACGAGTGGTCTGAGTCTAGACCATGGCCAGAAATGAGATAGCTCGTTTATGAAGACTGAAGTCAACAATTGTCCGCTGTTTGGTCTACAAGAATTAAAGCAGACATGAGATGGCAATGTGACGGGTGTGTGACACTTGAGCGAGCCGACTACCGTTGGTTCCAATTTCAGTGAAAGTCAGCTTCAGACACAATTCAAAAGACATGAGAATGCTTTTATGGCTGTCGTCCCAGCATGACCAGAACGTTATAACGGGCGACGGCTTTCTTTTTTTGGAAAGAATTCACCAACGGTCTGGTCTGAGACTGGCGAGACATCCGCTCAATTGTCACCCTAGTCTCAGACCAGACCGTTTGCGAATTCTTTCCAAAAGAGGAAAGCCGTCGCTCGTTATAACGGTCTGGTCTGAGACTATTGTCACTCGTTTTCCTTCCCTTTCCTTCCCACTACCAACCACTCTCCTCGGCTCAGATACAGCAAAATGGCAACATCAACCACCCCATGCTTTGTTCGTTTGTGTCAATCCTTATCAGCCACTTAAGCTCATTATTCTGTCGCAGAATAAAATGATGTATGCCCCGTTGGCAGAGATCGATCCTGAGGTCCAGAATATCATCGACAAGGAGACATGGAGACAGTTCACTGGGCTCGCGCTCATTGCTTCTGAGGTATAGATGATTTGAATCGAACGAATCATGATTATTGACTTAGGAAATCGCAGAACTTGACTAGCAGAGCCGTTATGGAGGCGAGTGGAACGATCCTGACCAACAAATACTCGGAAGGCCTTCCAAATGCACGGTATTACGGTGGTAACGAGTACATCGACGAGCTCGAGATTCTCTGTGGCAAGCGGGCTTTGCAGGCATTCAACCTTGACCCCGCAAAATGGGGTGTCAATGTGCAGCTTTATTCTGGCACTGTAAGTGCTCAAAGCTCACCAGAGACCTTGTTCTTACCCTCAATATAGACCGCAAAGTGCGATTCACGCCAATTTGATCCGGAGCTCGGCTGATCCTTGTATAGCTTTGCTGCACTGACGGCTCTTATCCAGCCTCAGGACCGTTTTATGGGTCTCGGATTGCCAGATGGTGGTCATCTCACCCATGGGGCCTACGTGAGTCGTCATTCAGAATCTTCTGGTTTCATCTTCCGACTTTTCACAGACAGCGAAGAAGAAGATAACCGCGTCGTCCATCTACTTCCAGCCCCTTCCTTATGCTATTACCCCCGACACCAACCTCATCGATTACGCAGCCCTTTCGGCTCAAGCCAAAATCTTCAAGCCCCGTCTCATCATCTGCGGTGGTTCAGCATACCCCAGGGACTGGGATTACGCTGAACTAAGGAAGACGGCAGATCGGGAAGGCGCTTGGTTGATGTGCGACATGGCCCATACCAGCGGTTTGATCGCAGGCCAGGAATTGAAGAGTCCCTTCGAGTACTGTGATGTTGTCACTAGCACCACGTATGTTTTCTGCCATTGGAATGCTACTCACATCTGAACAATCATTTCTACAGCCAAAAAACCCTTCGTGGTCCCAAAGCAGGTCTCATTTTCTTCCGCAAAGATCTCGAAAATGCGAAAGACCTTGAAAAGCGCGTCAACGACGCCGTCTTCCCTGCATGCCAAGGTGGACCTCACAATCAGGTTAGTTCTCCAGTCGGATCCTTTGTTTCGTGATTTCTCATTTGATATAGACTATCGCTGCTATCGCAACTGCTCTGCTCCAAGCCGCCCAGCCCGAATTCAAGGCCTATGCCAAGCAGGTCATTGCCAACTCACGTGCACTGGCTGCTGCTCTCAGTGAATATGGTTACAAGCTCCAGACCGGTGGTTCAGATAATCATCTGGTGCTCTTGGATCTTCGTCCCATTGGTGTGACTGGCAGCAAGGTCGAAAAGCTCTGCGACCTCATGGGTATCATAATCAACAGTATGTCATCCCCAATCCCATTTTTTTGATACTGATGTATGGATC